AACACTGTGGATAAGTTGGCCGGAACATTTTTGCGGAAAATATTTTTCCCCAAAAAACACTTGGTTGAATTCTCAGAGAGGTGATATTTTCTTGTCAAGGGGCAGGGGTAGTCTAGCATTATTGGAATTAATTATGTGACTAGTATATGCTTTGCAGGTGGGATTTGTACTTGCCTTATTCGGAAAAGGTCTTTAGAAGTGAATGGAATCATCACATTGTCATTTGTTAAACAACGGCTTTTGTATGTCCTATGCAATCCATTTGATGGGCGACGCACGACGGGCGACGCACGACGAGCGACGCACGACGGGCGACGGACGACGGGCGACGCACGACGGGCGACGCATGACGGTAAATGGCATGTTTGGAATTGGTAAATGGCAGAATTGGGACACAACAAAAAGCAAAATGCGACGGGCGACGGGCGACGGCAGATATGGAATTCCATAATGATGTACTGCAGTACAAGTTATGTTTCAAGACTATCCCTAGTTTCTTTCTCCAAAATGAAGAATATTTAATTTATTATCAGTTTTTGTCGATGAGAGATTTAGGAGAAGACTGAATAGGCTGAACCTCCCCATTTAAGTAAGCAATTTGGTGATCTTTAAAACAAGTCTTTAAAGCCTTTGATTCAATGCTGAAAAGAGCGTTTTACACTCTAAAGAATATGAGCTAACATTGGGAGAAACTCACTCCTTGTGACAGTAAGAAAGGAAAATAGAAGCGGAGGTTGTGTTTTACCGTCTATGTCATTCCTCCAAAACGTTGTTCAGAAGTGTACTCCCAAAAGAGTAATGTTTTCCTTAACCCATGATGTTAAGTACATGTATTTCTTTTACAAGAACTACTAAAGCACTAACACATTTAAGCACCACTTGTGCTGCCGTTTTACTCAAGTGTTAGGCAAAGTATTTGCAAGCCTCAATGGATAGTCATTTTGAAATAAGCCATTGTCACTTTAAAGTAACATTATATAGTTTTTACATATATTAAGAATTAGTTTTAATAACTGAGCAGTTTTCAGTTTTGCCAATTCTTTGATCATAATAAATCATATAGGCTTCATGTACCCTCACTGTTTCTGATACATTCTTCGGTCTTATTCAGCCCCACTACCTGTTAACATCTAGGAACCGTTGTAATGTTGACTTTGTACTATTCACATAGACCTTTCCACTAATAAATGGCACGTGGAGGCAAAAAGCTTGAGCGGCCCACTAAAAACATACAGAGGCACAAGATTCATCGTCATTCTCTCAGCTTCTGCACTTTTTCCACTTTCGTCTCTCTAAAATTATTATAGCTATTACTTCCTGGATCAAAAAGGTTTTACACTGGACTAAATGAAACTGGAAAAAAAACAGTCTTTGGTCCTCCCCGAGCGCGCGAGGTCAAAAGAAATTAACAGGGCTCCTTTCCGACCAAGTCCAGTTCAATAGATATGTACATGTACTTCAGGGTACTATGCATCAGTAGTACTACGCTGAATCGCAGTCTGAAGGCAGGTTGAATTGCGGGCTAGCTTCAGACGGGTTAGGTTTGTTTCGCCACGTACGTCGTTGACCGAGAATGGTGGATGGTACCCTAACGTATCGCATATTTTGTTTTATAGCTCACACAGAACAAGAACCCTACTGATTTCTTTCGCCCTCGTGCGCTTCAAAAGAACGAAATTGTTCAAGTTTTATTTTGCTCTCTAAAAATTCCTCTCTCACTGAAAGTAACCGCGGTAATAATTAAAGAGGGTTTTCTGAAGACGAACGTGAAAAAGTGCAGAAGCTGAGAGCAAATAACATTAACGCTTTGTGCCCCTGTGCATTTTCAATGGGCCGCTCAAGGTTTTGGACTCCACATGCCATTAATGCGCATGCACACATAAATTAGAATTAATCAGTGGATTTCTCTATTGATTTAGCTAAAATACATTCAGTCATGTTCGCGGCAATGCACGGTGCATGCACGAACAAAGTCCTCATTATGTGTTTGCACTTACATACTACGGCCTAAGCCATAGCTGCGCCAAAATTGATATCTTAAACTTCGGCACGGCGCTGCGTTTAGAGCTAGTTCGCCTCGGCAAATTGCACTCGGCACCGCAAGCCCCTAATCTTGACAAGGTTTACCGCACTATCGGTGTGTTGAGCTGTAGTGGCACGACACCTCTCTATTCGGCGTTTAGAGCAATTGCCGTGCTATAGAGCCTGAAAGTTAAAAGGTAACGCAGCGAGCTTCCAGAACCCTCGCACAACCCGCCTACAAGGATTTTCCATGGGAATGTCCTGTTACGCTCTATATTTTTTGGAAAAATGGTTTCTAACTGAAGCCGCCCCAAATGAATTCTCATGTAGGAATTTTATCGTCGTGTTCTTCAAGTAAATGTTGTTGAAAATTCACCTGGAGATAGTATTCCTACAGTCGATGGGTTTTAGCTTTAGTTGGGCTGACCTGACGTGTTTCTTGTCATCAAGAATAACTTTGTTTCTTTACATTCGTGTCAAATTACACCAAGTTGCACAACAAAACGTAGATTTCCGGAATTCGAAGTTAGATTTTTGGTTACGATATTTCTCTGTCAGGACAGGCAATTCTGCAGTTTGGTAAACATTTTACAAAGTTTTTTCAGAGGTGATTCTGACAAGAACGAAAAATAATTGCTAACATTTGTGCACGTTATTTGTTTTATCTAAGGGTTCCGGAAGCGCGCCATCAGCTTGAGGGTTGAACTCTCAGCTCAAGCTCTAATGCCCTGTACTCTGGTTCCCTGCCCAAAGATTCCTTGGTGACTATTGATAGAAAAAATCTTAGATCAGACATCACCCACGGATATAAATAGATATGACGCAAGGGTCAGGGGTCACAGGTTGACAGCCCGGGTGTTTTCGATTTACAGTGGTGCACTCCGTAGGCCTATGTGTGGGCATTTACCAGTCGTCGCCAGGTCCTGATTCTTCCTAGATTCTCCTCTAGGGAGATTACCGAGGAGTTTCCGTTCAACAGCTAGCCTACCTACCCGGCCGGGAATAACCGAACATCAACGGTACCATCCGAACATGCCAAATGAAGACGGGACGACTTCGGAATAATGATTTCAGCAGTTTCCGGAAAACTTGAGGAATTCCTTCAGTCTTGGTCACGTGGACATTGGGTGATACCGGGCCCTTGATTCGCAAAGTAGTCAGAATCATCCAGTCTGGTATCCAGACTATAATGCCCTGCTATATTTCCACACTCATTCTACTTAATTTTAAATTCGCCGCAGCAGTAGCACGGCGTATAGCCTATGGGCCCACAGCTGGACCAAGAGAGGATGCAACGCTCCTAGCAACAGAGGCTCCTTTGGTATCTGTATGGTAGTAACTGAGCATCACTGGTTCACGAACGACTATGAAACGTAAGCGTTGCAGTCGCATCACTACCAACAAAACTCGGAACACTCCCGACCAACAGGACTCTTTTCAACTCTTTTCACGAGGGGGTGTTTCTGCTCGGGGCGGATAGGCCGTATACCTCTTGCGTTAATGTTTGCTCATCTCAGAGTACAACGCGTTAATTAGTTTTATGACTGGGGGTTAGGAACTACGCATTTTTGAGTATTAAAAGGTTTACGTTATGGATGCGTACGAGACATAATTCTGTTAATACACAAGCCATGTGTCAAACGTTTTAGTGTTTAACACAGTATTTAAAAATTTATTACCAATTTTATTACCAAGAGCTTTAAACAACAACAATTGACATTTTAATTGACAACTCTAGGGGTGACGCACTCTAGACATCCTAGCCCCCCTACAGTGGCGCTTGGCCCATTAACCCATTCCCCTTTCATGTGTCTACCCACATTCAGTATTTCTAATAAAGCAAAAAACAGTTCTACTTCTGCTTAGGCCCCTACATGTCTTTCAAAATAGGGCCGGTAAGTCGGATTTTTGGGTCGATATATTTGTCAGTGTGTGCCGACTGATATTGATTCATTATTGCGAATTTCAGCTTGGATTGTATCCATTTACACTACGAAAGATATAAAATTGCCCCAGGGGTTGATGAAAACTTGTCTTGATGATTGTTACAAACTACGTTTACCGTCGATAACACCCAAGCATAATGGAGAATTCAGGTAATGCTCACCACTACGCAAGCTACTCTCTGAAGAGTGAAAATGTTACTCTTAAATAGAGTGAGCCCTTCATAAATCCATTCCAAGAGAGTGAACACTACCCTTACAAGAGTGAAAATTACTCTAAAATAGGAGCCACCTAATGGACAACTCTTTTTCGAGTTGTTCTTTATTAGGACAACTCTATTTTTTCGAGCTCTGCGTCTTGACGTGTCCTTTTTGTTTCCTTTTTTTCCTTATAAGGGACAACTCTTTTCCGAGTTGTCCTTTACGTGGGTCCTTTGAGGAGCAGAAAGTTCACCCTGTTGGAGTGACTTTTACCCTTTTTAGAGTAGGTTTCGTTCTTTTTGAGTGGATTTATGAGGGACTCAGTTTTTTGAGAGTGAGTGCACGGTGCACTGGTGAGGCGGGCAGTGAACCTCGTGTTGCAGCAAGAAATTTTGTGGCAAACACCATAGCTTAAATGGAGGTATCCCTGCATGGTACAACCTCAAAATGAATCCATGCATACAGAAAATACACACTCAAAAGCGATTAAGATTGGTGAATCAAATTGTAGAAATCCTCTATTGACACGTTTCGACCTGCGACTACAGAGCAGCGAACGTGTAGTGTAAGATGGCTGACTGGTTTGCAGGATCTGACAGAGACTGAGAGGTGGGATCCTGTACAAAACTGTTTCATTATTTTTACGTACGTGTTTTCATCACTGCGACAGCGAAGGAAACTCATATAAAAGAGCGGAAGCGTCTTCTCGAAAAGGAAAAATTAATGTAAATAGACAAACAATTAAGAATGCTGAGATTGTTAACAGGTATTTGTGAAGACAGGAAAGACAACTTCTTTTTTCAAACTTGCCGATAAAAGTTTAATGTCACGCCGCACGAATAGGATTGGTTGGGAAACCGGAAGCAGAACTTTTTTTGCCTAGAAAATGCAGATTTGACACAAAATGTTGTCTATTCCAGGAGTGCTTCCGATCCTATTCGGAGAATACTATTCTTGTCCTTGTGATCGACACTACAGAATTATTTTCCCACCAACGGTCTCCATACCGATTTATATTTAGAACCCAACGTATCACTGTTTCTTGTACTCACATTTTGAAAGTGAAGAACGATGCACCTACAGTTGGACTGACGTTTTTGCTAAAGATTTTTCCAACGTACCTCACTACGAGGCTCGTTTTCCCTACACCTGTGTGAGAACAATAAAATGACTTTATTATTGCCTTTGAAATTTCGACAAGTGCTCTTCGAGTTTTCAAAACTAGAAGCAATCTGGAAGACAGACAAAGGTCCCTACATGAATAAAAAAGGTGTCCATTTTGACTCTCGGTTCGGCATGGTTTGATTTGGCTAAAGTCTGTTTGATTCATGTTTTCCTAAGGGTTTTGCCCCCCCCCAAAAAAAAACACAGACCGGCCACTTTCCCGTGTTGCTTTGAATAGGTTTGTTCGGTCAGTAAATACAATGTGCCTATAACGTTCCAGAAAGTATGCATGCGCATTATCAGTACATACCGCCATGCAAAACAGTCGGCCTCGACTCATTTGCTTCATGCACAACGCTATAGAGGTTTTTCAGTCACGTGATTTCTGACAGTCAACGTTCAATATACACAGATAATTCGAAAATGCACACGCCACTGCAGACTGGAACGCTTCTTGAACTGCCTTTGCCGGTCAAGTGATGCCACGTGAAAAACCTCTATACAACAATTTTCTTATAACAATGTTGCTCACGATGATAGGCCTATATCCTGAAACAAACATTCAATTTGTTTGCTTTTTCACACGCAGAAGCAAGCGCCACATGACACAAAAATACTGGCACATGTTTGTAGCAGTGTGCTCTGACATGCTTTGAATGAGTGCGTTTGTGGACGAAAATGAATTTGATGGGAAAAACCACACGCAAACAATATCTTTTGCAAGCGGTAAGAAACAAACTGGGAATTTTTCATTTTTAAGCCTTGATAAAGCTTTACTTCTCTGATTTGGATTGAGTTTGACAAGCTCTGCAAAATTATAAATTGGCAGCAAAGACTAAACAGACAATTTAAAGGTGCCCTGTGTCATGAACTGATTGTAGGTGAACTGATGGATAAGCACTGGGGCGATACCTTTGAAGTGGAAAACTAGGGTGCATAGGCCTAATATGTGTCAATGTAGCTATTTTTGTTTGTCCTATTATATGCTTATCACTAATATCTTTCCTAAAATAGAACTGTCCGGCAACAAATATGATACAGGTGTAAAAGTTCGATATGTGGCATCTTAATAGCTATATTTAGACTTCTATCTTTTAAACTCTAAATAGATGTCACGAGTTTAGGAGTCATTATTCATCGTATTTTATGTCATGCCGTTACAACATAACACAGTTTTTGAAAAGATTCTTTCACGATTGGTTTGTCAAAATGTGACGAACAAGAGATAACAATAATTTTTATGTAGTTATGACATGTTGCACTGAAAGTTTGCGTTGATTTACTTTTGCCGATAGTCACCTTAAAAGGAACACGGTATGATATTTCTGTCAGCATTTTTAGCAGAGTTTCAAAATGCTCCAACAGATGTTTCTCAGCAGGATACGAAAAAACCCAAACTTTGAGCACAGTGTTGACTAAGTGCGATGAATGACTATTAGGTGAACTTTGGCATCGATGTTCCTTTGCGGGTTTATTTATTCGACGTGACATGTATGACATAAGTCTGAATAGGCCTAATATGAGATGTTTCTATACTATTTTTCTCAGTAAAATTTACCCAGAGCCAAACCTTTGGTATAATGGTTTTATTTGAGATATAATCTGCACCAGAGAAAGTTCGTATTTTGGAAAGTGATGTTTATTACCTTGGAAATATGCGTTGTTGCATTGAATTAAACACTGGTCGGTGTTTAATTAACACTAAGTTGTAGTGGAGTAATGGTGTCAAAGGGTGGTTTTCAGGTTAAGTTATCAAGGTGGCAGAGAGAAAATTTAGTTTTACTTTATTTTTTAAATTCCAAACAAGAAACCATATTTTTCTTATAGCAAAAGAGACCATGATACATATATGTCCCAACTCTGAACATCCCGTTACATCACCAAATAAATATCGAAAATGGTTGCTTTGTAGAGCCAGAAAGAGGCCCCTTCGTTCATTATGACATGTTCCAAATGACTCAAATTGATGCTTGCAACTCTGGTGGTGCAAGAGTCAACAAAGACCAAACTGATACAACCTTTGACCGACTAACCAATGGAACAATAATCGCTTAACATAGAAACGCAACACTTTATCAATCCAAAAATCAGTTTACCAGTAATCCCATGTTTGCAAAATGTTTGTCGGTTGATCACCTCGGAATCATTTTGGAAATAAAATGGGACAAAATATGTAGAAGCTTACTAAAGGAAAATGCACAGATTTGTCAACCAATTTTACAAGTACTTAAGTGAGTAGCCTCAATAAAATATTAATTTCGTAAGGTGACAACTAAAGAATCTATTCCATGCTGCCTAAACATACGAAGGATTTCACTGGTCTTTTTCACAGGATACAGCGCAGCCTTTTGTGTGGCCACCATGCTGTTAACGGCTGGTTGATTTTTCCCGTAGCCCGTAGTATCTCCAGAACGACTCGTGGTTGAGAAATGGTTGTCTCTCATACTTGCCCATAGTTGGTTAGAATGAAGTACTGCACGGTCGATATCAAACGGCAATAATTAAACTTCAGGCCAGAAAATTAAGATCTAACTCAGGCCGAACTGTAGAAAATACGTAATAAATCTTTCTGTACAATGCATCAGCTCTGCAGCCATTTTGTTTCAGTCATTAGGGCCTAGGGCCACCTTACCTTCTTTGCCAAGGATGACAACCTTGGCTTCCAGTGCCTTCATGCGGGGATTTAGGGCTGCAGCCATTATGCCAACACACTGAAGCAGACGACAGCAACTAATTTGAGTCCTTCAAACCAAGACCAGTAAACAAATCTCCCCAGTCACTTGGGAGAAACTGGGTTTTGCACTGAGTCAGTTTACCACGGCTGGTTTGGTAATCTCCGTGAAAAGAACCAAGTAGGTATAACCTCCGGTGCTCCCTTGAAAGTTAAATATTTAAAAGCCCATCAGGATTCCATTTGTTTCAAAAAGCACATTGGATAACTCACATGCACACGAAGTTTCTGACCCAAATATTGAGTGGGTGGCAGTAGACAACCAGCCATTTACCAACAATGCGTAGACATCACCGCTATCAAAATGCAACCCAACCAGTCTTTGCCGTTGGCCAGGTACAAAGGTCATTACCAACACCAGGCTTTACGTGAGCTGTCACAGATAGGTATACATAATTGTAAATATTTCAACAAAACCTTCGAGACATCCCAAAAATTACAACAGAACTTTGGGGATTTTTGAGAGCGAAAATCACACAGTCACATGAATTTGTGCATTACTGCAACTGAAGTGTTTATCATGAACATGGGATAGTGAAACACCCCAAAAACAAATCATCCTGGACAAGAAATCTGCTGAAGCTTTAAATGGTTGGGATTTTATTTTTTAACATTTTTATTTATGGACCATAGTCTACATTGGCGCATGGATACATGTACACTTAACCTTCTGATATACACTTCTGCCGCATCCCAGCAACCTCAATGTGTAGTGTTCGGGCCTAAGTTAAACAGTTCTTTCCACGTCAATTGCCGACTTACTAAGTCCCAACTGGAATCACGCACTGATCAAAGCACTCGGAAGAGAGTTTTTGGAGATAGGGGGTTATTTGGGAATTTGATACATAAGTTACAAGGTATTTTCAACAAGTTTGCACTGGCCATTAACGCAATCGAAATTTAAACCTTCAAAAACATTGTTCTATGACATGAACGGATTGCTGCTGTTTATTCCAAAACTAGGGGGCCATCTTGACATTGAGTGAGGTGCATTCTCCTCGGAGAAGTGGTGAAAACAAAAGTGTAATTAATGTTGGATTTCAAAAGTAGTTAACCCATGGAGCAATAAAACCCGAATATCTGCATGCTAGGACTACTGTACTGCAAAATTGTGCGCACAGAGCTGCCTGGGCATGATGTATGGACACTGAAGGTATCATGATTTAGAAATTCTTTTGTCAACACTTGGCACATGCTCTGTGATTTGTAGGAAGAAGGCCATTCTCCAACTTGTTTTGAAGCGCACAAAACACCAAGGAGCCTTGGTAATGACTACACATTCAAGAAACTCGTGTCCTATGCAATATCCACACGGATCATGGAGCGAGGAAACTGTCCAATCCCATTGAAGTATCAACAAACGAGACCCCACAGGACGCTGTGTGTATTCCTGACAGTATGCACTGTACATCTCTGTAAGACATCCGAATTACAGAACCCAGATCTTCGCAGGCGGGCCCTTCACACCTTGCGAGCGAGACGTTTGTACAACGTACAGGTGACAACCTGCGGCCGAGACAATGCCGGTCAGCAAGGCGTCAGTAGTCGGGCGGTGAATAGGCTACCGGTGTTTTCGTCAAAAGTAGAGATGACAACACGACTCCGCTTACTTTCAGGAGAGGTGTCAAACTGACAGATGTACGTTGCTACAATACACGATAACAAACCTCCCGATTTTGTAGACATGGTCAAGCTTTGCCATCACACCTTGTTTCTTGTCACTCCGTCATGGCTCGCCTCTGTCGGCTGAAGTAACAAACGCAGTAGCTACATGGAGAAAGAAAACAATTCCTCGTTTTAACACAGTCATTTAGCTCTTCTCTCGTACACACCTTATCAAACGAATAGAGTTTTTATGCACATGTTATTTGTTCTTTTACTCAGAAAAAATGTTACATCCTCCTTTGCAACCAATCTAAACCTTCGTCAAAAAATAATAAAAAGACATAACATTTGTAATGTAATTTCCGAAGCTTCCCGAGTGGACACTCTACTAATTTAGCTCCATGCTAAGATAACTTGCGCGGGGGCTAGTGTTAACTGTTAACCAGCTAACCAAACCAATAAACCACTCGAAATTTGCGATAACCTGTGTCTGGAGCAGACTTCAAGAGCATTTAGGTCTGTTGTCAACCCAACTGGGCAATAGGCGAAGAGCGAGACATGGTCATAGTGGATCCAGGAATGTTTCGAGGAGGGGGATCAGGACGGAGATTTTTAATGTACCATTTTTAGGACAAAGGAAATGACAATGAAACAGTACATGACATATATTAATAACACTTAGCCTGTGCTCATCCAAAGAATGTGCAGGAAGCTATCTTGTGTTTAAATTTACTTTAGCATTTTTTAATATTATTTCTTTCCCATTTTGTTACCTTTTTGTCTGAGCGCAGGGGACCCCGCCCCCGATCCGCGTCTGATGGGTCTAGCTTTGGACGCAGCAGGGAGGCGAAGTTTTTTTACACACATACTACGGAAATCCGACTTGAATAAAGGCTATGATCGTAGGTCTGGAGGATTGTTTTATTAAAGGGAAGTAAAGCCCACATTTCAACAACGGACGTCATATAAAAGAAAATCTGGACTTTCAATTCCTTATTACCCTCTGAAGCCAGCAATGGCAATTATATTGTGCTGAATACAAAGGCGATAGTTGGTTGGCTTACTAACTACTGACGCCGTGAACGACTTGGGCAAGGAAGCCTTTGTATTACCTTTGTATTTGGCACGGTACAGACTACAGTGGCCATCGGTGGCTTCAGTGACCTCTGTGCACTGATTAGGGGCATAACAGGTCCAGATTTTTCTTATATAAAGTCCGTGATTCCAACAGGGGAAACGCCCACGGGGCATGAATACTAGTCTCCTCTCAAGAGCCACTTTCCTTTGGGAAAGTTCTTGGTATATCCTTAGATAACTCAATATTATGCAGACTCCATAAAGACTAATAAAAGCCATGTATCCTTAGAGTTCTGTAATAAATCCTTAGAGTTCTGTAATAAAAAAAAAACACGCATCGGAGAGGTTCCGCAGGATGCGTTTTTCAAATGGCACGGCGCCCTCTACCGCTTTAATTGAGAAATTCTTTAGGGCTTGTAGTCCATGGGGTAACTTATCTGCCACTAGCACCGAAACTTACCTTTTTCTTATAACTGCCATGTTTATTTTTATTGGTTGGTTTTCAAATCTTGGGTGAAGTAAACGTACAGATCAATAGTGGTACTAACATTTATTTAAATACACGTCTTTTGTGTAAATCCCAAACAGGACAAGTGACTTTTTTCTTTGCACATTCAGAACAATGTTTCGAGGCTTATTATAGGTGCTACTTTGGTAAACTAATGAATTATTCAAAATGAGAATCATCAGTTATGATTTTCCCGCCAGTTTGCCGTGCCCCAAAAGCTCTGACGTTTGGACGGAAAAGACTTGTTACCAAGCTACTGAGATTAAGTATTGATGCTTAATTACGCCCAACATGAGCAGGATCGATGCAGGTATTATGGTCGTTTCTTTTCTCTCCCACTTTCTACTCAAAGGTTCCCCGCTTGTAATCGGAGGATTATACGCGGATTACAAGGGGCTTTGGGCCAATGAATTGGAAAATAACAATGGCCGAGCTGAGGGAGTTGATACAGTCTTTGAACTGGAGTTGTACTTTGTATTGCCTAATTAGATGAGAACAGTTAACGTAGCCCTAGGTGCTGCTGCAGTTCTGCGATAACAGTGGTTGCAAATGATGGGAATATTCTAACTGGGAAGAATAAAGGAACAAGGTGGTCAGACAGATTTCCCTTGGGGGTTTTGTTGACTTTTTTATACTTCAAACTGAATTTTTGTTACATGTCCCCTTTGTTTAAGATTTTAGAAAGGTGGTATACGAGTCTGTGTCATAAACAAGCAAATTTCAGAGAATCTCAGAGAGGCAACTTCAGATGCTGGTTCATTTTCTCATATACATGTACAAGTCGAAATGAAAACGTGATTCGCCGTTTAGCCCATGCTTCCTGCGTGACATTATTTATGATGTATTACATTGTTATCGTAGCATTCTGGTCGAACCAGTAGCTTAGAGGTCACTGAACTGGTTACATTGATTGCGAGGATGTGGGCGTTGCCTCTACAGTCGTCCGTGTATGAAGACAAGATACCACGCACAAAAGAAATCAACAGGAGACTCTTTTATTGAAGACTAGCTGCAGCCTAACGAGACGTTTGAACATAAATTTGATTCCAAATGTTCAACTTCAACGTTCGAGTTTAATGAAATGAACCAAACTATAGAAATGCTGATGTGCTGTCAAATTCATCTCATACATATATAAATGCATTAATTTTATATTCATAAAGTAAATAAGAAGACCTGTGGTAGAATAAAAAAAGCATATGAGTTATGTGGTGGATTGCTAGAACAAAGTTACCTTCAATTATGCCTGTGTCGTTGTCCTGGTCTGAAATCTCCCACTATGTAGTCTTGAGAAACCGTAGCCAGTGAAGAAATATATTTGTCAACTTTAGTTCTTCTGCATTGCCATGTACATGATCATTTTTTTTATTTATCAAACATTTGGGAATAAAAGTACAGTAATTAACTCATTACCAATATTGTTTCGTATGTGGTACAATAAATTATGATATGCAGAATGACGTTAAACACAGTAAGATTTAAAATGACTTCAAGTAACACTCTAAACATTGCGTTAGACGGTTATGCTGTCACTTTGTTGCTTCAATTTAGGTGTTTAATACCTGAGCATCAATGTTTAGTGGCTATTAATATTATCCATCAAAATTCTAAAAGTGTTCAGTATTTTAAAATGTTTACCCACTCATAACAATAAGTATTCAGAAAAGTGTTTATTGCTAAATACAGTTTTTGCATTGAATGCTCTCGAAAACTGTTCTCTCCCCTCCCCTTTCCTTCCCCTATCTCTCTCTTTCTATTTCTTACTTTCACCATTTTTGCAACTTTCAGAAGTTTCTGATTTTGATATATAGCTAAAAATTTCTCACGACGGATTTTTTCGCTCAATCTATGTACGAACGCACCTGTTATTTCTTCCGACTTAGGTACTATCGAGTAGTTGCTAGATTTAGTAACATTGATGGCTGGATTTGTTCCGTTATAATGAGAAGCTTCTGTCCGTTCTTTGGGTTATAATAACATAGCCTCTCTTCTTTTTGCACTGCTGTACAGACTTTATTTGGGGAAAGTGGTTAAAGAAATCAATGCGTCTTCCAAGGTTAGAGAAACGGTAC